AGTAGAGGGAGCAAACCCAAGAGCCGCAAGTGTAGTCCTCAGTGTGTCGTGCCACTCACGCGGTGCCTGGCGGAGACCGTAGACTGGCCGCCGGAGGCTCCACTGGGTGCCAGGAGGAAAAGTCCCAGTGAAGCCAAGTGGGCGGCGCAGCCAGATCTCCTCGTGCAGGCTGCCCTGCAAGAAAGCAGTGCTGAAGTCAAGAGAGTGCAGCTCGTAGTCACGGTGAGCAGCTATGTGCAGCAGTACCCGAAGAGTGGTCATCTTTGGGGTGGGAGAGAAGGTCTGAAAGTAGTCAACTCCCTGCCGCTGACTGAAGCCACGAGCCACGTAACGCGCCTTGAAGACAGGCGGAGAACCCGGCGGCCGCTTCATACTGAAAATCCACATGCCACTGACGATGTTCGCCCCAGGCGGGGGAACCTCGTCAACGTAGGTGCCTGTGGACTTCCAGGAAGCCATCTCTGCGTCCATAGCTGCCTGCCACTGAGAGGAGTAGGGACCCTCTATCGCCTCCGCGTAAGAGCGCGGAGTCGGGATGTCAAGTGCATCCGGGTCTCCCTCAGGGGTAAGCAGTACGGACACGAGATGAGGTGAAGCAGCAGCCAAACACTGGAACTCCTCCTGCCTGTCCTCAAGGACGTCCGTGCTAAGGGCACACTCACCCCCGACGGACGGAGGACAGACGTGTGTCCCAGGTAGACGCGGTCGAGCCTGTCGAGGTAGCTGTTGACTCTGGTGCTGCTAGGGGTGCTGAGCCTGCGGGTGCCGGGTCTGGGGGTGCTGAGCCTGAGCGTGCGGAGCCTGGGGGTGCTGGGTCTGGAGGTGCTGAGCCTGAGGGTGCGGAGCCTTGGGGTGCTGGGTCTGGGGGTGCTGAGCCTGGGGTTGCTGAGTCTGGGGGTGCGGAGCCTGACGGAGCTGGGCCTGGAGGTCCTTCGGGTGCTTCGTCCCGGCGGGAGCTACCCTCCCCACAGGAGCTGCGCGAGTCGTTTTCTCGGCGCTGGAGCCGTGCTGCTGGAGCTGGTGGTGCTGCCGGTGCTGGAGGTTCTACTGCTACTGGGGGTGCTGGAGCCACGGGTCCCGGAGGTGCTCGTACTGAAGGTACTGGAGCTGCTGGGCCTGGTGGTACTACTGGTGCTGGAGCTGCTGGCGGAGCTGGAGCTGGCGGTGCTGCTGGAGTCGGTGCTGCTGGAGGTACTGGAGCCGAAGCTGCTGCGTCTTCCGGTGGTCCTGCTGCAGCTGGAGTTGCTGGAGGTACTGGAGCTGGGGGTGCTGCTGGAGCCGGTGCTCCTGTGGGTGCTGGAGTTGGCGCTACTGGAGCTGGTGGTGCTGCTGGAGTTGGAGCTGACACTGGGGGTGCTGGTGCTGTCCCTGCTGGTTCTGGAGGCGCTGCGCGGCCGCAGCCCTACTTCGTTCCGCTCCTTGAGCAGGTTCTTGGTCTTCCGCCTTCTTCTGGTCCTGCTCCTTCCTTAGAGTGTCCACCTCCTGTCCAGTCCGAGTCACAGTTACCGCTGGCCTCCCCACTGCCTGCTCCTTCTCCCTAAACTGGTCCTATCGGAGGTCTTGCTGAGCGTCGTGAGCCTGAGTCGCGTCCTGCGTCGCCTGTTTGTGCTGCTCGCACTGGTCGTCGTGTTCCACGTCCGCGTCCTCCTCCTGTCCCCGGCACGCACCAGATGGCACTGCGTCCTTCTACTGCTCCACAGCGTGTCCCTCTGCCGTCTCCTCCTGAGTCCTCTCTTCCTGCTCTTGCTGACCCGGCGCCTGACTCCCTTCGTGCTGCCAGTCCTACTGTCACGCGTCTCCTGGCTACTGTTGTCACTGACCCTTCCTTTGAGTCCACTGCTGCGTCTGCCTTAGTTACTGAGCTTGTCGACTTCGCTGCTCACTGTCGTCTAGACTACGCCGCTAGTCTTGTTGCTGAGTTTGAGTCTGTCTGTCCTCCGTCCGTCGGGGGTGAGTGTGCTCTTAGCACGGACGTCCTTGAGGACAGGCAGGAGGAGTTCCAGTGCTTTGCTGCTGCATTACCTCATCTCGTGTCCATGCTAGTTGCCCGTGAGGGAGACCCGGATGCACCAGACATCCCGACTCCGCGCTCTTACGCAGAGGCGATAGAGGGTCCCTACTCCTCTCAGTGGCAGTCAGCCATGGACGCAGAGATGGCTTCCTGGAAGTCCACAGGCACCTACGTCGACGAGGTTCCCCCACTTGGGGCGAACATCGTCAGTGGCATGTGGATTTTCAGGGTGAAGCGGCCGCCGGGTTCTCCGCCTGTCTTCAAGGCGCGTTACGTGGCTCGAGGCTTCAGTCAGCGGCAGGGAGTTGACTACTTTCACACCTTCTCTCCCACCCCGAAGATGACCAGTCTTCGGGTACTGCTGCACATAGCCGCTCAGCGCGACTACGAGCTTCACTCTCTTGACTTCAGCACTGCTTTCCTACAGGGCAGCCTGCACGAGGAGATCTGGCTGCGCCGCCCACCTGGCTTCACTTGGTCGTTTCCTCCTGGTACCCAGTGGAGCCTCCGGCGGCCAGTCTACGGTCTCCGCCAGGCGCCCCGTGAGTGGCACGACACACTGAGGACTACACTTGCGGCACTTGGGTTTGCTCCTTCTACTGCCGACCCGTCGCTGTTTCTACGCACCGACACCTCTTTGCCGCCGTTCTACATCCTCGTGTACGTCGACGACTTGGTCTTTGCTACTGCTGACACTGCTGGACTCGCCCACGTGAAGTCTGAGCTGCAGAAGAGACACACGTGCACAGACCTGGGTGAACTGCGCAGCTATCTTGGCTTGCAGATCACCCGGGACAGAGCACGGCGCACCATTACCCTGACTTAGTCACACATGGTGCAGCAGGTCCTTCAGCGCTTCGACTTCACGTACTCCTCCCCTCAGGCCACTCCTCTGTCTACTCGCCACTCGCTCTCAGCTCTGCCTTCGGATGAGTCCGTAGAGCCGAGTGGCCCGTACCCAGAGCTTGTTGGTTGCCTCATGTACCTGATGACCTGCACTGGACCTGACCTGGCATACCCTCTTAGCATCTTGGCACGCTATGTTGCTCCTAGGAGACACCGACCAGAGCACATGGCTGCAGCGAAGAGGGTGTTGCGCTACTTGTGCAGTACGTCGGGCATGGGGCTCGTGCTTGGAGGGCGGAGTTCAGTGGTCCTCACTGGTCACGCAGACGCGTCTTGGGTTGACGACCTGGCTACGCAGCGGTCGTCACAGGGTTACACCTTCAGCCTTGGTTCCGGCTCTGTTTCGTGGCGGTCTACCCGCTCGTCTTCTGTTCTCAGCTCCAGCTGTGAGGCTGAGATCTACGCAGGGGCCATGGCTGCACAGGAGTTACGCTGGCTCACCTACCTGCTGACTGACTTGGGAGAGCCGCCTCGTTCTCCTCTAGTTCTGTACGTAGACAACAAGGCCATGTTGGCCTTGTGTCGGGAGCACAGACTGGAGCACAAAACGAAGCACATTGCTCTTTGCTACTTCCTTGCTCGTGAGCTGCAGCAGCGTGGTCAGCTGCGCCTTGCTTACGTGGCCTCTCAGGCCAACACTGCTGATATCTTCACCAAGGCACTTCAGCCTTGTGATCATCAGCGCTTCTGTACTATGCTAGGTCTTGTGCCTACTTGGCCTCACTTGCTTACCTCTTGACTTTGCTTGTACTGTGATCTATATATACCTGCACCTGCATGTTTACCTTTATATATAATGCTGCATGTGAACTGACCTTGTGGCCTTTGAACCTGTGCTCGGACTGTGTGGTGACGTTGTGATCCACCCTGAGCTTACTTTGCTTTGCTCTGCTTGACTGGTCTTGTGACCCCTTGTTCTCCCCCACTTTGCCTATGGGGGTTTGTCAAACTCATATGCTATAGTTTATCTAGGCTGTAGTGGGGTAGACACTATAGGGTACAACACTTCTAGGTGTCCTACTTGTACCCATTCTTTAGTCATCTCATTCCTCGTGATTCTCACAGAATTTATACGAAAGTCTAATACTGCCGCCAGCCGCTACGCTGACCGACATCGACGGAATTTACCCTTCCATGATGGGCAGATGGTCCTCTTGGACACAAAGAATCTGCGGCTGCCCCAGCCTGCAAAATTGCGTCCCCGCTACGTGGGACCCTTACGCATCATTCGGATGCTGACCCTGGTCACAGCGAAACTTCTGCTACCGGACGACTGGAAGATCCACGACGCCTTCCACGTCAGTTTGCTTCGCCACTACGTGGCTCCGCAGCCGTCCGACGTCGCTCGACCCAACATCGCGCCAAGTGTCCGGCCCGTGGCAGACCCGACACTCCAGCCTTGGAAGATTTTGAACCATCACATTCGTGCGACACCAGCTGGATGCCACGTTGATTTTCTCCTGCGATGAGTGTATCGCACAAGCGAAGATGACATGTGGGTCCCGGCTGACTCACTACAGGGCCACTCGATACTCCGGGATTATCTTTCCCGCCGACGGTGCCCGATATTCACCATCTTTCTTAAGGGGGGGGGTAGTGTAAGGAATTTTCCCAACTCATTACTGAGGCACTCCGTACGCGTACAAGTCCAACTTTTTGGAGTTCAGGCTCGGTCTGCTGACCTCGCCTTCCGAACGTCCTTCGCGTCGCCTTCGGGGTTTTCAACCCCAAACCTGCACCCAACCTTCGCGCGACTCCGCGACCTCGGCCTAGCTAGCTTTGCTATGTTATGCCTAGGCCTCGTTGTTTGCTGAGTAGTTGTAATCACTTCCGCGTTATTGAACGCACTCTTCTTTCATAAAACTCATTACATAAATGGTACATGATAGTAACACAATTACAAGGCCTCCCAACTTCTCTAACCAGCGATGAAGTAATCCCAACCCCTCACCAATCGAGCCCGGGGGCCTGTCGAAAGTTTATGGGCTTGGCCAAAAGTATACTGAAGTTGCCTTCCCGCACTAGCCCAGTCTCACAGCGTGCCGTTCACACACAGGACTACTAAGATAACTCAGAGGGTCCAATGTGGTAGGAGCTGCGATCATAGCACATGCCTCATCCTTAGGTCATACGCCCCCAACACACTGGTTCATTTCAGCGTCGCCTAGTGCGCCTTACCACGCCTTACGAAGAGAACATTTTCGGGCGCTCATACATAGCTTCGCGACGACGCCTCGCTGCGATTCGTCGCCGCATCAGGCGCCTGTTCACGGCCTCGCACAAGCTAGCGGCAAAGGCCTCGTTGCACCGTGTCGAGCTGCTGAATCCGGATCCGCAGTAACAGTCCGCCGTGTGTGTTTTTGTCGCGAACACGATAGCTAGCACACTCGCGCACGTCCACGCCGTCTAGGCAAAAGCTATTGCAAGTGCATGTGAGATGGCGTGGGTTTAGGCCTCGTTCCCATCTCTCCTTCCCATCTCCCGATCTCACCAAGCCGCCGCACCGTCTTCCCTTCCCAGCTCCACGACAACTCCTATTCTCGCAACCCCCTTCCCTTCACCCAATCTCCATTGCCCGCCGCCCATCTCCCATTCCCGCCGCATGATCTCGCCATCCCGCCGGCCAAACTAACGTGCCCGCCTGTCAATCCTTCCTTACGCCGCCCGAACTCCCCATCCCGCCACCCGATCTCCCCTTCCCGCCGCCCGATCCCCCCTTTCCGCCGCCCGATCTCCCTTTCTGCCGCCCGATCTCCCTTTCCGCCGCCCAATCTCCCTTTTCCGCCGCCCAATCTCCCTTTTCCGCCGCCCAATCTCTACTTCCCGCGGCTCAATCTCCCCTTCCCGCCTCCCGTTCTCCCCTTCCCTCCTACCGTCTAGCCCCTTCCCGCTTCCCGCTCTCCCATTCCCACCACATGGTGGTGGCTTCCCGCCTCTTCTCCCTTTCCCGCCCCGCAAATTCCCTTCCAGCCTCCAGGTCTCCCCTTCACGCCTCCCCTGCATCCCCCTCTCCCCACTCCCTACATCCCCCTCTCCCCATCCCCGCATCTCCCTCTCCCCATCCCCGCATCTCCCTCTTCCCATCCCCGCCTCCCCATCTCCCCTTCCTCTCAGCTCCTCTCTTTCTGCCCTTCCGTCCTACCTCTTCATCCTCACCCCTCCACCCCGCCTCCCCATCTCCTCAACCCCTCTTGCTTTCCTCTCCCTGCATCCCCATCTCCTCTCCCTGCATCCCCATCTCCTCTCCCTGCATCTCCATCTCCTCTCCCTGCATCTCCATCTCCTCTCCCTGCATCTCCATCTCCCCGCCCTGCATACCTCTCTCTCCTCCCTGCATCCTCCCTAAACCCTTCCAAAGCCTGCTTCTCCTTACTTCTCCCCTGCCCCCTCCTGCCTCCCTTCGTTTCCTACCCTGCTTCCCCTATTTCCCCCCTTGATTCCCCTCATTTCCCCTCCTCACTTTTGTCATCACAGCCTATGGTTCGAATACTCCCCCTCTCCCCGACTACCGGCATTTCAGTGACCAACTGCTTTGAAGATCTTCATGCTTCAACTCGCCTCACGCCACCATCTCATGTCAAATCAGCTAGAGAAAGGGTCAATAGTACAGAATTCGTCATAGCGAGAACATATTTCTTCCTAGCTGTATGTGATGTTATGTGACACCTTTATACTGTCGATGCATCGTTATTAAATAATCTGCACTGCTGAAATCGTGGTAGCACATAGCAGGCTTTGTGATGAATATCTCTAGCAGTAACACACTACTCATACTACGCACACGAGACTACAAAAGTTGTAAGCACCATCCACTACTAGCTGCGCCTCTGCTTGCATCTGCTGGCCTGTTTCAGCACTACCAATTATCAGAGTATGCAGAAACGTTTGTGTGAAGACCCAATGGGGACGTGCTGTGAGGGGGAAGAGGAGAAACAGAATCTGAATACAAGCAAGTAATGATACCATATAAGAACCTAGGGGGCAGAAGGGAAACGTGAGTGAGGGGGAAGGGGAGGGCATGCAAGGGAAGGGAAGGGAGAAGGGATCGGGAAGGGAAGGGTGGGCAGGGGAAGGGAAGCGTAGGGATGGGAAGGGGGTCAAGGAAGAAAAGAGGTGAAAAGAGATCCGAAATCAGGGAGTGTAGATGTGAAGGCAGGGAGTGGAGAGGTGAAGAATAGGGAGTGGAGATGTGAAGGCAGGGAGTGGAGATGTGAAGGCAAGGAGTGGAGACGTGAAGAGCCCCTCAGGTGGATTGCCTCGTCAGCGAGCGATGACTGGCCGTTGATGAGAGCCACTGAGAGGCCGACAGCTGGCGCCATGGTGTCAAGCACGTGCTTCACCTGCTGGAGTAGGCAGAATGGCACGGTGCCACACACCCTGCCAGTGTCTTGACAGGTGTGTTGGCAGGGAGATGAAAGGGACGAGAGGGATGGGATGGAAGGGCCGGGAAAAATGAAGGTGAAGAGGGCAGATGGTGAGGAATATAAGGGTGTTGGGAGGGTAGAGGGATGCAGTTGGGGACAGGAGGGATGCAGTGGGGGAAAGGAGGGGAAGCAAGGTGGGGGAAGGAGGGGAAGCAAGTGGGGGAAAGGAGGGGAAGAAAGTGGGGGAAAGGAGGGGAAGAAAGTGGGGGAAATGAGGGGAAGAAATTGGGGGAAAGGAGGGGAAGAAAGTGGGGGACAGGAGGGGAAGAAATTGGGGGAAAGGTGGGGAAGAAAGTGGGGGAAAGGAGGGGAAGCAAGGTGGGGGAAGGAGGGAAAGAAAGTGGGGGAAAGGAGGGGAAGCAAGGGCGGAAAGGAGGAAAAGCAGGGGGGAAAGGAGGGGATACAGGGGGGAGGTAGGAGGGAAAAGAGGGGAAGGAAGAGGGGGAAAGGAGGGGAAGCAGGGGCGGAAAGGAGGAAAAGTAGGGGGGAAAAAAGGGAAGCAGGGGCGGGATGGAGGGAAAGCAAGGGGGGAAAGGAGGGGAAGCAGGGGCGGGAAGGAGGAAAAGTAGGGGGGAAAGGAGGGGAAGCAGGGGCGGGAAGGAGGGAAAGCAAGGGGGGAAAGGAGGGGAAGCAGGGGCGGGAAGGAGGGAAAGCAAGGGGGGAAAGGAGGGGAAGCAGGGGCGGGAAGGAGGGAAAGCAAGGGGGGAAAGGAGGGGAAGCAGGGGCGGGAAGGAGGGAAAGCAAGGGGGGAAAGGAGGGGAAGCAGGGGCGGGAAGGAGGGAAAGCAAGGGGGGAAAGGAGGGGAAGCAGGGGCGGGAAGGAGGGGAAGCAGGGGCGGGAAGGAGGGAAAGCAAGGGGGGAAAGGAGGGGAAGCAGGGGCGGGAAGGAGGGAAAGCAAGGGGGGAAAGGAGGGGAAGCAGGGGCGGGAAGGAGGGAAAGCAAGGGGGGAAAGGAGGGGAAGCAGGGGCGGGAAGGAGGGAAAGCAAGGGGGGAAAGGAGGGGAAGCAGGGGCGGGAAGGAGGGGAAGCAGGGGCGGGAAGGAGGGGAAGCAGGGGCGGGAAGGAGGGGAAGCAGGGGCGGGAAGGAGGGAAAGCAAGGGGGGAAAGGAGGGGAAGCAGGGGCGGGAAGGAGGGAAAGCAAGGGGGGAAAGGAGGGGAAGCAGGGGCGGGAAGGAGGGAAAGCAAGGGGGGAAAGGAGGGGAAGCAGGGGCGGGAAGGAGGGGAAGCAGGGGCGGGAAGGAGGGGAAGCAGGGGCGGGAAGGAGGGGAAGCAGGGGCGGGAAGGAGGGAAAGCAAGGGGGGAAAGGAGGGGAAGCAGGGGCGGGAAGGAGGGAAAGCAAGGGGGGAAAGGAGGGGAAGCAGGGGCGGGAAGGAGGGAAAGCAAGGGGGAAAGGAGGGGAAGCAGGGGCGGGAAGGAGGGAAAGCAAGGGGGGAAAGGAGGGGAAGCAGGGGCGGGAAGGAGGGAAAGCAAGGGGGGAAAGGAGGGGAAGCAGGGGCGGGAAGGAGGGAAAGCAAGGGGGGAAAGGAGGGGAAGCAGGGGCGGGAAGGAGGGAAAGCAGGGGCGGGAAGGAGGGGAAGCAGGGGCGGGAAGGAGGGGAAGCAGGGGCGGGAAGGAGGGAAAGCAAGGGGGGAAAGGAGGGGAAGCAGGGGCGGGAAGGAGGGAAAGCAAGGGGGGAAAGGAGGGGAAGCAGGGGCGGGAAGGAGGGAAAGCAAGGGGGGAAAGGAGGGGAAGCAGGGGCGGGAAGGAGGGAAAGCAGGGGCGGGAAGGAGGGGAAGCAGGGGCGGGAAGGAGGGAAAGCAAGGGGGGAAAGGAGGGGAAGCAGGGGCGGGAAGGAGGGAAAGCAAGGGGGGAAAGGAGGGGAAGCAGGGGCGGGAAGGAGGGAAAGCAAGGGGGGAAAGGAGGGGAAGCAGGGGCGGGAAGGAGGGAAAGCAAGGGGGGAAAGGAGGGGAAGCAGGGGCGGGAAGGAGGGAAAGCAAGGGGGGAAAGGAGGGGAAGCAGGGGCGGGAAGGAGGGAAAGCAAGGGGGGAAAGGAGGGGAAGCAGGGGCGGGAAGGAGGGAAAGCAAGGGGGGAAAGGAGGGGAAGCAGGGGCGGGAAGGAGGGAAAGCAGGGGCGGGAAGGAGGGGAAGCAGGGGCGGGAAGGAGGGGAAGCAGGGGCGGGAAGGAGGGGAAGCAGGGGCGGGAAGGAGGGGAAGCAGGGCCGGAAAGGAGGCTCAGCAGGGTTGATGTGTCGATTTTGAATTCAAATAGGTTACGATGGGTGCGCGGCATGCACGGCAGGCTCGGCGAATGCCACGCGGCGGTAGTCTGAATGCAAAGCGGCGGGGAAAGGGCGCTAGCACACTCGATCGATGGTCGTTTTCAAGGCTTAGACTACATGTTTAGTAACTCACGCGCGACTAGGTGAAAAGTCGCGTTGTCGGTATAGCCAGCCAACTTGGTTAGCTATACCACGGGAAATTCCTAGTATAGTCGCTGATTCGCCTCGCCAAGTGTGTGAGCGTAGCTTCGTAGTTTGTGACGGATTGCGGAGGGGGAGATGCGGCAAGGGAACGTCGAAGGGGGCTTGCGACAGGGGGAATGCGGCTTCTATGCGGCGGCGCGACGGCGACGGCGCGAATGCGTCTGGGCGCACGAGACGGTGCGAGCGCGTCTTCGTATACGCGCGAAGCCAAGATTGCGGTTGAGCGAAAGCGAGGCGTCACTAGCACTCGCCATGTCGCCACTACTTGGTTTGTTCTACCTATTCTATTAGCTATGAGTCTCTTATTCTGCCAAGTGTGGGAGTGTGGCGTGGGGCTGTTCGCCAGCACCAATGAAGCAAAAAACCATGGGATAACGACGGGATCAGGAAGGTGGGTCTCGCCTTCCTGATCCCGTCAGTTAGGGTTCGTTTACCTCCGTCAGCCTGGTCAGCCTGTAAAAAAGGTGCCGAGCCTCCCCAACCGTCCAAACCAACAATCAAGGCCCAGTTCGGCAGGCATTATGGCCATTATGGCCATTATGGGCATTTTTAACAGGCCCCCAAAAAATGCCCCATGGGCATTTTTTGGAAACAGCTTCGAAATCGGACAGTAGCTGGGGTGCACCTTCAAAAAAACGGGCTGACTGTTCGATTGGCATTTATTGGGTGTAGATTGATTGCATCAGTCTAAATTTTGGTTTCGCAGAAGATGGTAGGCAGTTTCTCAGATGAATCGCGCGATCATGTGATTGGCTAAGATATTTGACCAGACACTGTTTAATGCCCCGAATCACTGATACCCCGCATGGTGCGGGGCCTCGAGGCCGCATGGTGCGGCGGATTAAAAAATGGGCACTTTGCCCGAGAAACTGGGTTCGTGGATGCTTCCGTCGGGTAAAAACGCCTGCACAAAAAGGGCTGTTCGGAAGGCATTCCATTATTGTCAGGTTCGGCGTAGATCCGCTTATATCGAGCCTTGATAATCATTCACGCGCTTATCATGGAAGGTTCCAGGATGGTCGTTTCACTGTAGCCCATCCGCCGAGACCATTTTTATAATGCTTGCCGAACTGGGCCCAAAGTGGGTGTCTGACGAACGCCCCCATTTGTCAATTAAAACGAACTGCTCGACGGCATATGGAAGCGGGGACGCAACTTCGTCCCCAGGCAAAGTTCCATCCCCAAGCCATGCCATCGCCATGCTGCATTTTTCAAAGCACAGCGATGGCACAACCGTCGCATTGCCGTTCAAAGGGGATTGGGGGGAAGGTGGGGACGGAGGTTCCCGATGCGGTTGCGAAATTTCGCAACCGCAGGCGCAGAAGTTTCTTGAACGGCATTACGGCCAAACCTCGGAGGTGGGTTCCGCCTCCGTTTCCAGATGCGTTCGCGACGCCGATGCCATCTTTTTCATTTCAAATTACGATTTCCTGGCGAACAGCACCAAATTGATATTGGTGACGGGAGAAAATCCCCTTTTGTGACTGACAACCTTCCCAACCCTGGCTCCCTCACAACAGCTAGGCCTCAGCTTTTCGCCAACACTCTCGCCAACGTGTTTTTTTTTCTCGTTGAGGCGAATAAGTACACTTTCGTCCTTATGCATCCGGTCAAGGAGGCATCAACCCTAAACACAGGGAGGCATGGATTTAGGGTTGATGCCTCCCTCGGATGGCATGTCATCCGATGGGGTTTTTTTTTTTTTTTTTTTTTTCTGCCCGTCGGTCAGGTCGACGGTGGTCGACGGCCGTTGACCACCATCGAACCCCGTTTGGTTGAGACATTCCTAGTTAGGCCTTCCAAGTTAGAACGTGAAGCAGCTTGGCAACATGGTACTTTAGGTGTTAGGGCGTGTAACCATTTTGCCTATTTATTTTCCTGACGGTCCAAAATGTGGACCGTTCGGGTTAGCAAAGGGTTACCAGAATCAGGGCCCACGATATCAGGGTAAAACATCACGATTACCCTGACTTCAGATGTTTTTATTCGTTTGCCCAGTAATTTCAAGATGATGATGATTTTTACGCTGATATTTTGCCCTGAAGCGTCAGGATGAAAGTGGGGGATACCCTGACGCGAATAAAGGAGGGGGGAGGGGGGTGGGGAGGAGAAGGGAGGGCCTGCGTTCGTTTCCCCCCAGAATCTAATCCAACCTTAGCACAGACAATCCTTTGCCACGTTGCACCATTTTTTTGCACGCACCCTGAGTTGCGATGTTCTCTCGTTGGCACGGTGGATTACTAATCATGGTCTTGCTATTTTTTTTCCCTAGGATACCAGGATATGGCCTACAGGTACCCTAAAACTTCAGGATGGCCATATAGTTTTTCCCAGGAAAACCAGGTCCTTTTTTAACCTTTTCAAGAGTTGCCCTAGGGCCTCAGGATGCCCTAAATCCTAGCACAGTGTTGGAATACACATGTAACTGCTTATAGCTGTAGTTTAGTATATTTATTACAAATTTTTGGTGGTGCACCTTCATTTCATACTCTGTTTGCTATTTGTACCCCTCTCTCAATATTGAACCCCTCTTTGGCTTGCTCAACTCTCTTGACACTCCACCTTCTAGCCAAACCCTAACCGCCATGGTTCTTAACTTAACCTACTATTTCAGACACACTGGCCCTGAAAAAAATCGCATTATTTCGTATATGTGTTCGCCTTGCGACGTCGCAAACATTCAGAACCGTCATGACACCTTTTCGTGTTTCCAACGGCCCAAAATGTGCATTTTGTGCGGAGATAACTACTGCAACGGGAGCTAGAGTACGGGCTAGACATGGATGCTCGTGTGATCTCTGCGTTCGTTCCTTAGTCGTTTTCCTAGTGCACACACTACTTGCTAGTTCGCAAGGCAATTTGGGAAGAGTTTCACTAAGGAAGGTTGACAATGATGATAATAGCAACATCATTGGCATGCAAGACTACATCAGACCTAGCAAAGCTGCTGGTCGACTTCCAGCGCAGCACGGTCGACCGCGTGCCAGCACGACTTGGTCGACCACAATCCAACAGAGCAAGGTCGCGCCTTGCCAACGTTGCATGTCCATGGTGTGCCAACGCTGCAGCAAGTCGGCCGCACAGCGTTGCACCCGCAGGACAACGGTGCAACTACGAAGCAGGTGCGCGCAACTAGTTGGTACGCCACTCCTCGTCACGAGCACAGCGCAGACGCCTGGCAGACTCCACGCCAGCGACTGCGCCCACCAGCCACGTCGACCTCGAGATACTATTTACGAGGTCGATCTCGCAGAAGTCAACCCGGCGACATTTGCACACCTCGCCCGGGTATCCCGGTCCACGGGCAACCATGCCTGGTCGACCAGCACCTCCTTCACGTGCCTGTCGACCACCCAGGTCGATGACCACCTCCAGTCGACCTTATCAGGTCGACCTCTCCTTGGTGGACCAGATCCAGGTCGACGACACTTCTGGTCGACCAGCTCCACGTCCACCAGTGCACGAGTCAGCCGATCACTCCTATTCGGCTACCCGAAGTCGGCGTCACCCAGTCGACGCCCTGCTCTTCGACGTCCAGTTGCTCGACGTCCTGAGTCTCCCCTGTCGAGGTCGACATCGGCCCCTCCTTCGTCGACCACTAGGTCAGGTCGACCACCTGGTCGACCACCCCAAAGTCGGCACCCTGAAGTTGGCGCTAGTGCAGTGGCCCCCACGCAAGTCGACCACCTCGTCGACCAGCTCGCCCACTGCTGCAAATTGGCTGCACTCCCTCGTACACCCGTCTACGAGGTCGGCTCCACCCAAGCGAGGACGGGGCCTAAGACAACTCCCGTTGACACTCCCACACCGCGTTCACGCTTGGGCCCCCAGCCTACACATGGTAGTACTCCTCGGAGAATAACTCGTCGGCATACACCCACACACAGCAAGCCGGTCACCGCACTAGCCATGCAAAAGGGCATGGCACCTACTGCTGCACGTCGTCGTCACCGTCGCCCACGTCGGCCTAGCGCTCCTAGCCGATGGCGACGGAGCACCGATTGAAGGCCGGATAGTGCAGCGCCTTCGTCAGGAACTCGCCGGCTGCTCAGCGGTCGGGATGTACTTCAGCGAAAACTTCCCGCGCCTCACCATGTGCTGCAGCCAGGCCTGTTGTCGCTCCATGTGCTTGAGGTTGCCCGTTAACCCCATGCCCTTGGCGACCGTGATGGCCGACTTGTTGTCCACTCGAAGGACGGTTGGCTTCCCGGCATCCAGCTACCGGAACTGTGCAAGGAGGAAGCGAAGGCGGCGTCCCTCCTTGCTGGCTTCGTTGGCCACCATGTACTCCGATTCGGTCGACGACAGCGTCGCGCACTTGATGCGGTGGCTCGACCAAGAAACTGCAGCTCCTCTGTAGACAAACACGTAGCCTCTCGTGCTCGTCCTCTTCTGCTTGTCGCTGGCGTCGTCGGCGTCCACGTAGCCAACTAGCTCCAGCGTCCACGGTCCACCGCTGAACTCCAGGGCGGTGTCACATGTGTTGGCGAGGTAGGCGAGGCAGCAGTCGACCTCGCGCAAGTGCTGGTCGCTCCTCACCATGAGGCCGCTCCCCAGCTTGCTGCAGACGAAGGCGATGTCCGGCCTCGTCGTCGTCGCCGCGAACTGCAACGAGCCAACCTTCTGCCGGTACTCCTCCTCCTGGCGCTCCCGTGCCTCCTCGTTGTTGAACGTCAGCTCGGCGTAGGCGTCGACCGAGACTGGCGTCGTTGGGGTGCGCCCGGTTTGCTTCTCGTCGAGGAACCGCCTACGTAGCTTGTCGACATAGCCCTGCTGGTGTAGCCACAACTTCCCCGCCGACCTGTCG